CACAATTTTGACTAATGCTGCAACATCAAATAGTAATTAAATTCCCAGAAAATCTATGGTTACATAATTTAAGCGGGATTACATTTGATTTTGAAAGAAAAGGAAAATAAAGTTTGTGGCATAAAGTGTGTTTCATACTGGACTACAATTTCCTTTTCTCTTTCCCACAAAATGCCACTTTGACTTGTTTCTTATATGTGTACAACCCCATCAGCTCCAGGACTAATTACACCAGCCCTGTGCTGCCAGCTGAGGAATACTCAAGTTCTTAAGCCTTAAGTTGGAGACTGGAAAGAGCAAGCAACTCTTTGTGCCTGCCTCCCATCTGTGATGGTGTGTTCTCTGCTCTGGGCACTTGCCTAGATTTAATCTCTTGTCCATGAGACCATGGGATGCTCAACAAATTCTTATACTCATTGTTAAATATAAACCCTTCTTCCTTAAACATCGTACACTTCAATCATAACAATACTTGCAAAAGTGATAGCAAATATTGTATGCTGTTTTTATGAATTAGAGGTTTTCCAACAGTCAAAACCCTCTTCTTCAGGGAAAAAAACAGCCACAGACTGTCATTGTTGTCCTTCCAACCCACTGGACACTGTCTGTCAGAGGGATCAGCCCTGGAACAAACCCTAGTGCATCTGCATTGCCTCTCCCTCACTTCAATCACCTGCTACAGCTGCCTGGGGTATTTGCTGGTCAAGCACCTTGTGTCTTCTCTGGATCACAATCTCAGGTGTACCCGGGTTTGCTGGGCTGCCCAGGCTCACACTGACTGGCACATCCAGCCTTTGAAAGTCAGTGAGAGTGGACTAAAACTTGCAACCATCTTCATCAACAGCAAAGCCCTAACCCTGTGTCACACCACATAGACCAAGCAGGATAATTAAAAAGACTAAGCACACGTATTTCATTAACAACTGGGACCAACCACAAACCTTTTGCTGCATTGTACTTATGGCAAAATTTTCAAAAGCAGCATGGGCACAGCACTGGGTGGGAATGCACCCAGACTGAGGCACAGTCTGGGCAGGTGTCATGAGCACTGAGTGATGCTCAATTTGGCAAAAGCCTTTGCTTCTCCACACTGCATTCTACTTTCAGGGGCATTTCTGAAGAAAGATGGCACCAGAATTTCAGGAAAAAAAATAAATTATATCTAAAAAGCATACATGAATTTACAACTTACTAAAGAAAACAAATGAACTTCACGTCCAGCATGGAATACATAGAAAGGGGGCTGGGAACTGAATTTGCCTAGATGCTAACTCTTACTTTTAGAAGCATATATTTGAACCTTCTCAGACTTAACTTCCTTTCCAAAATCAGACCATCAGGATCTTAAGAACTAACAGCAGAACACTAAAGGTAAAAGACCCAAATGTATCCACTCAAAAGGTATTGAGCAGTTGCAGTCTTGGATTTTAGATTGCTGATGATGCAGAGAAAAGTTTACACGTGATGTCAGGGTAAAAAATTATTAACAACTATCCTTACATTGATAATAAATGCATTCTCAAATTACACCTGCCCTGGGAACCATTTACTGCCAGAATGGGACCATCATTTGCCGTTGGAGCCAGCACCCTGCACAATGTGACAGGAGTTCCCCAGCCTTCTGAAAAGAATTTCAGTCACAGAGGAAGGCAATCCAAAATACTGCCAAGAGAACAGTAAAATACCTTTTCCCTACTTCTTGCAACTAATTTCTAATGCATGGCTTGCAACATCATATCAAAGATCATCTCTCTACTGGAGGAAGTGATGATTTTCAGAGATGGGTGTCAACATGCTCTGTACATCAGCTAAAAACAAATCAAGAAACACCAGATTCTAGGATTAGAGCATAAATAATAAACTGTGGTCCTTTGGACATTGTTCTAGAGACAGCATTTTTGGGGTTCTTGGAAGCTAAAGTCTCAGACTCCTCCTAAAAGAAAAGGTAATTAAATAGTTTGGGCCCTTCACAGTCTCCGTGCATGTTTTCCATCTGCAACACAAGTGTAATGAGACACATTATATTCCACAGTAAACAGCATATGGCTATGCAGGAAACTCTCATACAGGGACAAAAGTGTTTCTACATGATTGCATGTGAGGGGCAGAGTGCCTTTGGCACTGCACTGGGAGCTGCCAGCACTGCAAAAAGCCTTTAATTTCAGGGAACAGCAAACTCCTCCTAGACTAGAACAGGATCAGTCACTGAGTGACATAACAGTGGAGAAAAAAAAATATCCAAGAGGAAATAACAATTTAATCTTTCTCCTCCTCTTTTTAAAGAATTCAAAACTAAAATACCTTTTTTTTTTTTTTTTTGTTAGCAAAATACTGTTTAAAATGGGGGTTGTTTTCTTTAGTATCTAACACACTGCTTTACATACACTAGGTACCATAAGCCCATATCAATGTTACAAACATCCCATCTAAATCCTGAGCACTTTGCTGATTGGATACAATTAGTTTTATTCTCCCCTCCCCCCCCCCCCAAACTATTTCACGGGCTTGTTTGGGGTTTGCAACACCAAAGGACTACACAAAGCAGAAAACTATCAAGATCTAGCCTCAAAAAGGTTTCTGTAACTGCAGGTCAAAAGTTTTGCCTCCTTTGGCCTAGAAAATATTAATAAACCCCCCTAAAATTGCCTGCTTTATTATCTACTAACCCAAAGCAAAAAGAAAAAATAAAATTGTTTTTCACAGTCTTGACATAAAATCTCTCTGTTATTTTCTTTTTGTTATATGTAAGACGATGTGGAAATTTTCTCATCATTGCCTGCCAGACATGCACTTCAAAGACTGAAAATCAGATTCATAAGAAGTGGACACCAGCAGAAATTAGATCTGATTAGTAACTATTTGGAGAGCAGAAAAAGGTCACCTCATACCAAGTTAAACAATCGCAGCTACTTCACTGATACACTGGTATTCCTTTGGATAAAATCAATGATCATTCTCATTGTAAGCCTGTCAGCAATTTTTTCACTCTAAAGACCTGAGTTAATCAGACTGTAGCCACAAACAGGCCTGGGTAGCAAAAGAGTATCAATTTCTGACAGCTGCATTGGCAATATAGAAAGAGAACTTAAATTAGAAGCTGGCACTAATTTTACTTAATGGCAACCAGAAATCATGGCTACAAAAATATAATGATTCCACTTCAGCACATTTTCAGGATATTTTTTCTTAGTTGAACCCTGTGTATTCCAGCTCAGAGGAATATGTGGAACTCCACTTACAGGATTTTGCCTCATTCTTGAACACCTCTTTGTAATTTTACCAACTGGGCACGCATTAACACTTGCTGCAATATAATTTTTTCTTCTTCTAGCAAAGGCAATACAAAACCCAATATTAAGATCCAGTTACAATGATCATGTACTGAAAATGAAGAAAAAAGTGCTTGGAGATGTGACATTTTAAAGCATCTCTTTAAGTTTAATTTTTAAAGGACAGAATGAGGCATAATAATAAATCCTTCCCATATGATAAGGTATGCATATCACTTGTACAAGAAAAACCCAAATAAAATGATCAATCAAAGTGACTAAAGAGGTGTGAAAACAGTGCAAGCTGGAACTGTTGGAGACTGGCTGAGGTCTTGGAGACATCCTTTTTTCTCTTGAGTGAATTCCGCTATGTCCTTTGCTTTTAAAATAACAGTGCAATTTGCTTTTCTGATTTCATTGGAAAACACTTACTAAATAGTTCTGCCAATAAGAGCATTCAGAACTATGCTCTAGTCACTCTCCTGAAAGGCAAACATGTCTCTACTGGTAAGAGTAAAATGGGATGATATCGGGCAAATGCAACCAGTAAAAACCCCAAATCCTGTTTTGAGTGAAACTTCACTCTGACAGAAATGCAGAGCTAAAAGAACCCCTGAAGTGATAACACACATGTTGATTGGCTTTGACAGAGAATGCTGTCCAACATTTTTGGGGAGGTATAAACAGGATCATGAAATTTGGTGAATGTGTAACAATGGCAAAAAGTGATGAGTGTAATGTCAGAAATTTAATATAGAAAGGACTTCTACAAACTCTGCCTTTCACAAGCAATCCTCTTCTTAGTAAAGGGCTGCAGGATCAAAGTATAAAAAGTATATATAGTCAAATAATTTTTGAGAAATACTGAGCTTTATGTATATAATTCTTTCTGTGGGAACAAGTCTCTAAACTGTGTGGTACTGGTTGGTGTGGCCAGCCCCAAGAGCATTACGATTTTGAAGCCTTCATTCTATAGACCACTGGCTTCCCATAAGGGTCTATACAAATTATTCAAGACTTTGTGGGGTTTTGAAATGGCTACACTGTATAAAAATGTTTTTGTATTTATTTTTTAAAAAATTATCTTTACAAAACAACTTTTCCCTTTTTTTCTTTTTCTTTTTTCTTTTTTTCTTAAAGATATCATTATCTACAGGAACCCATAAAAATTTTCCATATTTACATCTAGATAGCTAATCATTGACAAATATAATATCGTGAAATAAAATATTGAAAGTGAATATCCAACTTTTTAAATAGACATTTGGCTCACAGCATAAACAACAGAGAAAACAAATGAACAGAACAAACAAACAAAAAAAGATCTGCTCTTCTTACAGGCCTGATCTTTTTTCTTCTCTAAAAAGAAAAAAAAAAAAAAAAAGAAAAAAAAGGAGAAAAAGAAGTATATTGGTGGGATCAAACATGCTGCCTCTAAGCAGAATGCCAGCAACAAACTGCTCACATCCAGCACCTCACACTGAAAAAGAGAGTTGTCTGAAGGTCATGTGAGTGGTTGCTGAGACACACGAGTGTCCAGTGGACGCAGGACTGGCACCTGTCCCCCATGCTGCTCCTAATGCACTGCCTGCACTGCTCTGAGGAGGCCACGGCCCCCACACTCCCCTTCTTCTGCTCTCCCAAGATGCAGTTTAGCTTTGTTCTCAAGGGCTGGACGTGATGATCTCAGAGGTCCAGTCCAACCCGGCTGATTCTACGATTCTGTGATGTATTTGGTCATTGATGCACGGAGGCGTTAGGCTGTGGTGGGAGCTGACAATGCACCTCTCGCTTCCAAGGACACGTCTGCTCTCTGTTCCCTCCTGCCCAAACACACACACACGCTGCCCCACACGGCCATTCACACAGAGGGCCAGGTCCTCTCCAGGGAAAGAGCAGTGTGTCACACAGTCCCCCGGGACCCCTTTGGAAAATAGCCTTCCTGGCACATCCCTTTCGCCAGCAGTGTGGGAAGTGCTGAGGAAGAGGAGGAGGAGGAGGAGCCTGCACAGCCAGACAGGGCCAGGCTGACAACCTGGGCCAGCCTCTGCTGAAAGGCTGCTGCCTGCAGCTGGACTGGGACTTGGAGGCCTTTGGGGAATGCAGAGCTCCTCAAAATGGGCTCCACTTCCCCGGTGGGCACTAATTCTCTAAAATTCGGGCCTTCTGTTTGTTGTCATGTATTGGGACATGTGCTACAGCTAGTGTAGTAAGAACTCAAACTATGCTGTATTTCCTGACATCCACTCACACTTGCAAACACCCCCTCACACACACATACGTGTTGGCAGGATATATCAGCATTCATATAAAGCTTTGGAACTTTTATCCCTCAGCATTAAGAGCAAAAGCTACTTAACTGGTACCTTACTGTTAACTGCAAATGTTCTTCAGAAGCAGCATTTCCTTAGGTAACTTTCTTCTGTAAATATCACAGTGACCATAATATATCACTAAATGTATTTTGCTGAAGTGTGCAGCCAATAACCCTGGCTATATATATATATATATATATTTATATAACTCCACCCACCCCCAAATCTCTTTTAAAGAAAGTCTGTAAAAGCCGGTGTTGCAGTGTGAAAGCTTCCTCGAGCATAGGAGTTTAAACAATGTACCTCACCATAAAAAGGAAAGAGAAACAAATTAAACAGCTGTAGGCGCATTATCCCATACTTCTACAGTGTTGTGTCTAAATGCTGTGCTGGCTTGAGAAAGAGTCTGTGCACAAGTCAATCTGTCTTAAAATACTGCTGTAAATATTGTCATTGGTTTGGTTCTACAGTCGTGTTCTCCTCTTCATCCTTCTTGGGCTTCCCTTTCTCCTCCTCCTCTTCCCTGATGGCCTGGATTTGTTCTGAAGATTGGTGCAGCGGGGATTGCTCTGCACCTTGCTTCTCTGACCCAGCTAACCTCTCCTCGTCCTCAATTACTTTCTTCCACATTTTATGGTTCTGAAGCAGGTGCTGAGTGATCTGACAGTAGATTTTCCTCCTCTTGAACTTCTTCTTTCCTGTAAAACACCAGGTGACATTAATGTACCAGTTTCTGTGAGAGAAGGAAAAGGGACCGAAGGTGTAGGAGGTAGACAGGGTGTACTGTGACATATAGGAAGTTGACCAACAGGATTTTAAAACCACAAATTTAAACAGTCTTAAAATTCAGAAAGTTACACCTCTCCAGACCTCTGGGAAAGTAAACTGGTTTCCTGGACAGTTTAAGCCCCAGCTTCATCCTATCCCAGGCTGCATGTTGCACCTGACTATGCTGCTCACAGAGGCATCTAGTGCTTGAATGGTTATGCATAAAGCATGTTGTTCAGCTGTTTCTGCTCAATTTATATCAAGTACTTAAAGACACTGATCAGCCTTGTTCATAACACACATTATTAAATTCTGTGCCCTCCCCACATCCAATGGATCCCTGCTGATTGTCTGAGGGAAAACATCTTGAATTGTTTTCTCCACATTTTACCTCTGAGCTGAGCTGTAGAAAGATAATAAATGAAGGGTTACTAATGAAGCATTAGTGGTCAAAGGAGGGAACCCATTTCTGTGTTCTGTTTTCAAAGTCAGTGTTCCATCACTGCAGTGGAGGTGACCTTGAAGCTTTGGCAGGAACGCTGCTTTGGCAGCAGTCTCACGCCTGAAGAAGTATTCATACAGCCAAATACTATCAGGGAGCTCACTTGTCTTATTTTGAAGCATCAGTCCCCTGCTGTTAACCTATAAAGTGTTTTTTGTCACTGGTGGTTCTCATGGTTCCTGACACAGCTGCACTACAAGTGTTTTGCTGTCTGAAGGGTGTTTTGTTCTGTCAATATAGTCTGTCCAACACAGATTGTTAACTCCTTAACAGTACAAAGCTTGAAAATTTTCCCTGGTCATTAGCAGTGCCACTGGCAGTCACAGAAGTGAAATAACAACCTCTCCAAAGACAACTGCTGATTTATTTTTTAAAGAATGTGACGTAGAGGAATGTTTTGTACCAAATAAATTTGCGTGGATTAGTATTTTCAGGTTGCCTGCAGTATGTCTGTGTCAGGATCCAAAACGTTTAGCCCTTGAAGCTTTTGAACTGGAAACAAAGAGCTTTTCACTGAGCACAGACCAAATCCAACTCAATCCTTCATTAGAAAGCCCTTGGTTCCCTGTAGGAAACCTTCAGGTTTAGCACTAATAAGAAGCCCCTACCCTGCCAGTGCCGCAAGCAGGACATTCTCTGCTGGGTTTCCTGGGTGACCCCACAACTTGTTGCTCTCTGCAGACACCAGTGAGCACTTGCTGTGGTGTTAAAATTTGTCTGAATCACTGAAGACCGAGACTGTTTAATTCTTATACTTGCATCAGACCTTCAGTGAAAGTACGTGCTCCTGTGCAGTAAAAATTATTATTTCAAGCTACCTTAAGGTTTTATAACTCTTAAATTTATCTCAACAGCTTCAGTGAATTATCAGGACCTAGATGAAGTGTTTTCTGCCACAATTATATTTCTATCTGCCTGAAAGGCATTTACATCAAGAAAAAGATCTTTACTAATACTTATACAACTCTTCGTATCTATGCATCTGACATCTCAACCTTTTAGTTTGTTTCACTGAGAAAGTTTAAAACATCCAAAATTGTGTTGATCATTGATATACTGTAAACATTGATATTTATACACTGATATACCTGTAAATCCCCTATATTGACACAAAATATGTTGCAGATTCCTGATTCAGATCCAAAGTCACAGAAAATTCAGGGAACCTGAAGAAAACAGTTTGTAACACACTGGCACGATTATGAAGATTAGCACCCCACATTTGGTAAGAAGGAAGAATTTGTTGGATATTTCACAACTTCTGATACATTCATTTTTAAAGTTTTGAAAACCATAGCCTAAAAACACCAGGCTGACTAGTAAAGTTCTATAGCAGAGTAGAATGTGAAAAAGAAAACAGGAAAAAAAAATAGAAAGGAAAACAGAAAACAATTAAAAATGGTCAGTTTTCAATGGGACAACGGTTAATAAAGGTCAGTGCTTTTAACCTGAAAAAAGCATTGTTGGACTCTGCTACTGGTGATACAGAGGATAAGTATAGAGAGATATGAGATGAAAGGAAACTGGGGATTTTAAAGGTAAGACAGTCCAGTGGATATATGAGAACATCCTTCATCTTTCCCCTTAATACAACAGTAAACATTTCAGGCTTTGGAGTCTGTGTTGGTTACCTATCACACACACTTTCCTCCTGGTAGGCAATTCCATAAAGGCCAATCTGCCACAAACATGTGGCTCTGCCTGCTATTACAGAACTGAGAGATCATAAGGTGCTAAAATCAGCCTGTGTGTGTGTGTGTACTTAATGTTTGCTGTTCTCAACAACATTTTTTGTGCATGGGAACCTGCTAAATCTAAAATACATGCAAATGTGTGTGTATGAACAACAGCAGTGATTTCTTCAATACAAACTATATACCTCTGGATCTTACTAGATATAAAAGGTTAATTCTGTACATCAGGAGACATAGGCTTTAGTTCCACAAGTGACTTATTGCTATCATCAAATCTTTCTGCTTCTCAGTTTCCTCAGCAGAAAACAGGGAAGATACTCAGGTACGGAGGGCATGAAAATGTGTGGGAAAGACCAGAAAAAGTGAGGTTGTTCAAAGAAAAAGCTCTTTATTGATATTTCACTAGCACACTTAAGGCTGGTGCTTCCTATAAAGGGAGAGAGATAAAGATGACTCAGAGGAAGGAAATAAAAGAACTGTAGTAGAAAATTCAGAGGTGGAAAGATCATGAAAGAAATAAAAAGGTAAAGCATGCAGCATTAAACTGGTGAAAGAAATAGGTCTACAGTTGCAGTCTTTCTCTTAAAGATCACTTCCCATGAGTGCCTGGAATCTCCCTTTAAAATACAAAGCTTTCCTCTTAGTATGACAAGTACTGGCACCGAATTCCTTCTGGAAGAGGGGGGAGGAAACTATCAGCTTTAGTTACTGATTAGCCAGAAGGGCCAAGCTCCTAGCACACAACACAGCCATGCTCAGAGCCAATTCTCTAGTCACTCTTCTCCACAACATTACCTTGGAGAGGTTTGCATTCAAATACTTCCACTGTTAAAACCTCTTACTGCACCAGCACCTCAGACCCTCATTTCATAGTGATTCATGGAAATGATGAGTGTTCTCCTTCAAAAGTCTTCTCCAAATCATCCTTTATTCAACTGAAATTGTTGCAGTCTACTAAGCCAGTCCTGAAAGAGTCTAAAAAGCCCTCATGCAGAGATCGGTGATCCACCACCGGAAACCACAACTGAAGGCAGAGATTAGCTGATATGAACTGCACCAGTCCTGAAACCATGAAGCAGCTCTTACCAACATAATTGGCTACATGGCAACTTCTCCAAGGACAGCCCAGACTCACTGTCACTCTGGAGAAGCCCATGTTGAACCTGACCAGCTCACAGTCTCCGCTTAGTTATTTGGTCACAATAGGGAACTCGTTCTGCTGAAAAATATAAGCGTGAACAACTTACGGGATTCAGCATTTTCACAACTTTCCATTTCTGCTATTTCTTCCTCTTCTTGCTCATCAGTGTCTCCTGATTCATCACTATCTTCTATCCACTTTCCTGGCATCAGCCCCGCTGAGTCATAGGAGTTACATAGTGGTCCCACAATGTGAGTGATGAACGATTCCTGGAGGTGTGCCAGCTGAGGAGCAGAGCGGTCCATGAAAGGACTGATTGGCAAGCCCAGGCTGGCCTCTTCATCACCCTGGAGATGGAAAATAGCAGTAACTTCTCTGAAGTAAATGAAACAAAACTGTGTCACAAAAAGGTAAAGCACATCAAACCAATTAGAAATGATGAAAGAAAAACAATTAAACTCCAATGCCACTTCCGTAGCACGCCAGCATGACATTGCTACAGTGCCATCATGTCAAATGGCTAATCAAAGTTACAGCTCTTTTCTTATGACAGGACCCACTACTGATAGTGTGAATTGATCAAGGATGTTTTCGATCAAGAATGAATTGATGACTGTGCAGAATGTTACCCATTGCCCTTGTCCTCCTGTCATTGTGAGTGTGAAAATTTAAAAATTTTTATTTTATTTCTTTCTTCACATTATTTTTTAAAAAGTCCCTTCTGATTTTGTGATTTTTAGTTCCCAATAAGCTTGTAGTCAGCCACTTGTTTACACAGAACAAGACTGAACTTCTCCAAGCAAAGGCTATCTCACTGAGCTAGTTTTCATACTAATGGAGATTTGGGTTTTGGGTCATAAGTATTAGTTTCCTGGGACTATTAGAATGCTCCCTACGAAAGCAAGGATCGCTCAAAAGCAATAAATCTTTCCCATGAAGCTTTTTGCTAGCTTTTCTTGGAGAGAAAGGGTAGAAGGAAGGTAGAGGAAGACTTTTTTCTTTCTCCTCTCATAATGTAAAATAAAGCAAAACTTTATTGCAGAACCTAATCTGATATACTCACTTCCCTATCACAGCAAAGCTTCTGGTGACATCACTGAGTTTTCAGCAGAGTAGACATGACAAGACCAGATGTCATCTCCCCAAGAAAAAAAAATCTAATTTACCTAATCAAGCTTGATGTATAAATTAATGCTTTAATACAATACCCAGTTCTATATTTGAGAATATAGTTTAGAATTTGGAGATACATTGTCAGTTTCCATCACTTTACAGATTGCCCATATTTATCTCCTTGTAAAGTAAATTTTCCAAAAGTCATGGACATTGTATCTGGTCAACATTGTGTCTGCATCTGTATCTGGTGAAGGCCTAAGAATGAGAGCTATGTTTTGGAGCATGTACAGCAAATGGCTCATTTCCTTGTGTTTTGTTTTTTGCTTTTTTAATAACCCACCCCTAAATGTTATGTTCGGTCATTAGACAAAAAATACTATTGTTGACAAAACACTGAAACATGTCATCCATTCTTGAAATAGCAAACAAATTAAGAAGAGGTGGCAGCTTGCTCTTCTTTACAGCAACATATCTGAGATTTCCTGTTTGTGAGTTGTCAGTAGTGGGAAGAAAGCTGACTGTTGAAATGTTTACAAGTTCTTTTTCCATATTCTGTTAAAACACGATTTATTATGCAAAAAGTCTTGCAGTGTGTTTTTTGCTTCTATTTAATATGTCTAATCTGTCTTCGAATAAATATGCTGAGCACATGAAGGGAAGAGAAGGAAACCTCCTGTAACAATATGACACTGGATTTTGGATATTTCCATACAACACATTTTTAGTAGAGTTTTATTTATATGGGAGTGAAATTCTTCAAAGGAATTTGAGTTTATTAAAAGAAAGATATTTTATGATTTTCACAGCATAGGTTGAATTTACGTATGTATGCTTTTTGATAATAATTCCATGGAAATTCAAACTTTCCACAACATTGTCCCTTTTAGAAATGAGAATATGAAGACTTTTCCCTTCTCAGAAAAAAATCTGATGGTCAAAAGCATGGTGAACGTGGTTGGATACACTTCTCGTAGCATATCACATGAAAGAAAAACAGATTTTAACCTAGGTTAGAAGGAATTGAGAACCTAATTTATCCTTAATGCCAAAAGTGAGTCCTAAAAAGAAAATGTCCTGAGTCCCATTTCTGAATGATGGAAAATAACCCAGATTCCTAATGTGGAACAGATAATATGGTATCTTCCCACACATGTAATCCTCCCAAGCTTAATTCACTATCCAACACTTGGACAATATTAATGTATTGGAACAGTTACTTCCCTCTGACACTATTTATGTTGGATCAAAGGAAAGTCATATTATTTTATCTGATTAACAGGTTTTGTCAGTCACCCACATAAGCTATGATCATCACCAGAATTGTGAAGTACAATTCATTTGGACAGTTGTAACGAAAAAGAAAAACAGCAGTAAATCCTGTTTTATTTTTTTCCAACCTGTAAGTGCAGGAAATTTAAAGGAAGCTGAAAAGGCTTTAAAAGGAATTAGTCTGTGACTTCAAGTTACTGCACAGCCTCCCCATGAAGTCTGTGGGATGTCTGGTTCAGTGGTTTTGCCTGTTTGCTTCATCTGGAAAACACAGGATGTGGAGTTTAATCTAACTAGCCCATTCAAAATATGTTCCCACTCAGGAAACAGAGGAAGAGTGTGGGAACAGCCCTGACCCTTGCACTCAGCAGGGCTAAATAGGTTATAATGAGAAAAGGTTCAATTAAGGGCTCCCTTACACCTAGAAAGAGAGGACCAGTGCCTGGCTGTACTCCCAGGTCTTTGTAAATCAATCTGTGGGCTGTTCTCCTTCCTTGTGCTACCATCAGCAGAGCCTTGCATAATTAGTGCAGTTGTACTGACAAACCCTCTGAAAGCTGGAAGTGTTGTCTTGGAAAAAAAGCACGAGTCAGGATCAACATGTAGTGAGTTTGTGATAAACTGAAAGTCAGTGTGAGACACCTGGAGTGACTGCAGAAGAGAGCCATGAATACCAGCTGATATCTTGAAAGGACTTAGAGGGAAGGATGAGAAGATAGTCTGCATGAAAGAACACTGAAAGGGAGACATGATGACTGGGGAAAAAAAAAAAAAAAAAAAAAGAGGAATGGAGCACTTGTTCACCATTACCACTATATGGATACACTTAAATAGGAAAGCCTGTAAAGAGCATCATCAGAGGTCTCTGAGAACACACCAGAAGCTTCAGTGACAAATGGACTTCTACTGGTCCAGCAAAAGGATGGATTAATGTAACTCTAGCCATCCTTTTGTCCCCTATTCTCTGTGATTTTTACTCATCACCAGCCCTATCATGCTCCAGGGCTGTTTAACACCAGACGTGCAACCAACAGATACCACTTTGGACACGCATTTATTTACCTGTTCATAAAACTCATTGACGATGCCTTCTGTCCACTGCAGATGCAAATCCTTGCATTTTGCAGGCCCGTTTATGTCAGCCAGCTTGATGCACATTTGGCAAACCAGCAAGCGGTCATTCTCGTTAGTCCAGTCAATTCCAACATCATCGTTCACCTAGTGGACAGAGAAAAGAAAACCATGACAGCAATCCTGGGCAAAAGGGTGCATCCACAGAGGAAGTTCAGCCCTGGGACATTGCACAATATATTTGGCTTTTGAACAAAATCACAAGTATAAGCAGGTGAGATGACCCCAGGCTAAAATTAGCCATTAGCTGTAGGGCAATATGTAAAAAAAAAAAAAAAAAGTGAAAACATAAGAGCATAAGAGCATTGAGATGAATAATGGAAGATCAGTATTTAGCAAATTATGCACGTGTTAGAAAGTATTTGCTAGGACAAAAAAAAAAATGCAATCTTTCCATGACATTTTCCAAGAAGTTAATACCTAATTGGTGTACAAAGATAAACTACCATCAAATGTCACACTGATTTAACTGCAGTGTGAAAACGCATGTAACAAACTTAATTCCCTGTTTAATCCAGTATGGTTGAAATTATTTCCTATCTTTTTCCTTCTCTCAATTTTTCCCATACCTCTCATGATAAAATCAAAGCATCACAGGAAATTAAGGTTTGAAGGCACCTTTGGAGACACTCTAGTCCAACCCCCCAGTTCAAGGCAGGCCCAGCTAGAGCAAGCTGCTCAGCATCAGATCCAATTTAATTCTGAATATCTTCAAGAAGGAAAACTCCACAACTTCTCTGGGCAACCTCTTCCAGTGTACAATCCCCATAAGAGGAAACACGTATTTTCTTGTTTTTAAGTGGGAATTCCTGTATTCCAGCTTGTGCCCATTGTCTCTTGTCCTGTCACCAAATACTAATGAGAAGAGTGGCCCCACTGGCTTTACTCTCCCTATCAGGTAATTACACACATGGCCGCATCCCATCAGGTGCCATGGACTTGTCTATGTCCAGTTTGCTTAAGTGCCTCTTAACCAATGTCATTAATTTAGAATAAGTCTTCACCAATCCAGACTTTCTCTCACACCCCAGGGACCTGGAATTCACAGAGCCAAGTCTTAACCACATGGACTGAGCCTGCAAAAGCACTGAGCACTTCAGCCTTTTACATTTTCAAAAGGTCTGCAATACAACTTTCACTGCCATTAGCCACATTTTCCTATCTCGGACATTATTCCTAGAATATCTTCTAGTGTGATAGGGGCAAACTTCTACTGTCCACTTAATTTCCAAAGCTCAACTCCCTCCTTGAAACACAAGCTCTAATTGTCAAGCTTGCAAAAGTTGAAAATGGATAGGAAGTAGTGCTGTGACTGGACGAAACTTCCACATCCTCTGTCAGCAGGTCCCCTGCCCCACAGAACGGTGAGTCCACACAATCAGGGCTTTGATTTTGGTGTACACGGTGCAATAGAATTACAGTCAGAGAGCAGTGAGTGTTCCAAGGCATCATTATCATCTAAGTGTCAGACAGTGAGCTTCCTTCACTATTTCGTGGTGGTGCTTTCCAGACTGCATGTTTTCTAATGTGAGAATGATTACGCTGCACAGGTTTCCACTGACTTTGGTACAGAAGTGTCACTCTGACCGCAGATTCAATATACTAAAGTACAGTTCAGCAACCCGATTGATAATGTGTGATCACGCAGAGCTAATTTTGCCAGTTACAGCACTTTCACCCCATATACGAGCATCTCAGGTCTGCTCTGAGTCCATGTTGGTACAAAAGAGTTTTGGCCAACCAAACATAAATAATCTCTTTTTAAGGCAGTGATTAGTGCTGGAAAACCAGACTCAGCCACCAGCACTGGTTAATATGTGCACCTTCTCTTCCACTTTTAGTCCGTGCATGCCCATTTGACTATTCAAGTAATGAGGAGATTAATAAATGTCCTTTCAAATCTATAGTGAGCTGGCAGGATGTGGCTGTTCTCCTATTTATCTGCAGTCTCAGGCATCACCTTGGTTGGTTACAACAGTGGTTTACACCTAGTGCTGTGCAGACTGATTGATTTAAGACAAGTTTATTTTTCAATATCTACAGTTTACACCTAGTACTTTGGTCAAGCTTGTCCTCTTCCACAGCTAAGACGTTTAATCTTAGTGACAAAACCACAGTAATCACTGGTTTAGCCTGTCTTTTTTCATTCCTTACTCATGTTCACAGAAGTGATGGTTTTGGTCCAAGCTGCCAAATTCAAAGAATGCATTCAGATAGCCTGAATTCCTTTATTGTCATTGTAGTCCTGGCAGACAATAATCTGGCAATATTATTTAATACTTTATTAGGAAATAAGGATAATGAAAATGATCCCAGAGTTCAAAATTAAGACCTAAAGAACCCCCCTGGCATTATTGGATGTTTTGGGAAATGACTAGCAAGGGTGCAGAAGGAGCTCAGACTTTTACAGATCCAGAGATCAGTTCTCTGTCTACCCTTGACCGTAATTTAAGGCCTTTCTTTACAGCTTCTTAAAGCCTAACAAAGAGAGAGATGTTACAGGGAAATAGAAAAGAAAACCAGTTGTACATCTGGAGGCTTCAAAGTTTCTGCCTACCGGTCCATCCTAAGTGATACCACAAAGAAAATATTTTATTTATGTCACCAGATCAGGTAGCAGGTCCTAGTCCTGGATAAGAAACACAGTGATCTTGGTGTGTTTCTCACAAGGAACAAGAGGGCAGTACCAGCTCTGAAGGCAGGTACCTAGTTAACATGCCAACAGCTTTGATGGGTGATGAAGTTTATTAAAGTAATTTCATAGGAGGTGGTTTCCAATAAGTTAGGTTGAAACTCTGAATCAATTTTAAGAAAAGTTTCTCCCGGGGTTGTGATTTTATACTCACTGAACGGAGTGTGCAGGAAAGAACTTTTGTGACCTTTCTCTGGGGTTTACCCATTTGAAACAAAGTGGGAAAGAAAGACCATGCTTCCCTGCATTTGAAATTAGAATTTCACAGTTGTTATGATCTCTATGCCTTGATAATATAGCAGTGTGATTAAATCAATGCAACTTCCGTGGAAGTATCTAGCCATTACGAAAACTTCGTAACAAGTCTGACTATTTTCCCCTGAGTATTTTGCTAATAGGTCTTAAGTGCTAATGAACAAGAAAAGTATGTTGAAAAGTAGGATGTAAGTGGGATTTACATTCAAACAGTCTGTAATATCTTTAGCTTTAACCACTTTCTGAAAACACTGAACATATATAAGAAGAAAAACAACAGAAAGGCCAAATTACTATTCAACAGAATGTTTTACAGCAGTCAAAAGGACAATCACAGGAAATAGCAACACAGGAGCCTTTCTAGAGTTTTCGCTGTGATGTGGCCAAAACTGCAACCTTTTCTGATCATCCAATAGAAACCCGAACCTGAACCTTACCTTGGCATTGAATTTGGCGACAAAATCAAAGTGTTTCTTCAGGTCAGTGGCCAAAATTGCCTCAATGACGAGGAAGCGAAAATGCTTGAACTCCACGTGGTCGAGGTTGACCAGGAAGTTGTACTCTGGCCTGGACATGAAAAGGTTCCAGGCAGCAGCGGCGTGGTGGTTCTCCAGGACGGAGCGGTCGTTGTACAGCACTGCCTGTGGAAGCAAGGATGGCAATGGAAAGCTGAGAAACATTTTAGCAAAATCACAGCAGTGCAGAAATGGGATTGACATGGGGGTGGATGCTTGAGGGAGGTACAGGTTTGGTTGATTTGTTTGTTGAGGTTGATTTTTTATTTTTTTTTAAGAATTTCTCAAGGTCTGAGGATGTGATTTTGGCAGGACTAACAGTAGACATGGGAATTGTTGTGATGGTTATGATTTATTGGAAGATTGATTTGAAAACTCTGGGTCTTTCATGCTCCAGAGTTTTTGGTTCCTGACTGAACTGTAGCACATGACAACAGATTATTCTGTTTCAGGCCACAGATTAATGACTAATATAACACAGGTTTGTGTGCTTCTCTGTTTCTTAGAGCTAACCTCAGTTAACAGGGATTATTTATTGTCTTTGGTAATTGCACCTGACAATTGTGTCCATGTCAGATCAATTCCAAACACAGAAAAGAAGTGAAATTCCAGTTTGCAGTCTGACAACACACACTCAGACTGACAGATCTCTCAATGCCAAAATCCAAAACTGGTAAATCTTTACTAAAACAAGTTGCATAACTCTCATAAAGCAGGGAATGTCATCCAGTAGCTAAAGAAGGATTTAGAAAATGGACCTTAGGGGACAACAATCATTCAGGAAATCTCTCCACCTCAGCAGCATTCAGTCATTTGACAGTTTGATTTATAGAAAGAAAAGCTTTCAGAAATATGCTTCCATGTAAGACAGATACAAGTTTTTTAACTTTTTACAGAAATGCACACATACATTCCAATGGTTTTTCATTTCAATTATATTTTTATGTCATCTAGAGACAAAAGAATTGAATTCTATCCTGAAATATAGAATCTGTTCTTTATCCCAGAGTACATGTTGCTGAAGAAATTCAACTTCACAGACCATCTTGCCCAACTGAACAGTAAGGATTTGAGATACTCTGCTACCCAGAATCCCAAAGGCAGATTTTTAACACAGTAACACAGTATCAACTACTGGAAGTTGATACTGCTTGTCATGTAAAAGAAGAAAAAAACCTAGATGCCAAATACAGGTTCTTCAAATTTCAGATTTTAAAAAGCCCAAAGAAACCAACAAACAAAAACCCCCAAAAAATAACAGGAAGAATTTGATTTTTTCCTATAAATTTATTTTCAGACTAGAGACATAATTTAAAGCTACTCATCTAACTTCCTTTATTTATTTATTTATTTATTTATTTATTTATTTATTTCTTATTTTCACAACTACAAAGCTATAGCACTCATTTCTTACAATTAGATTTAAGGATAGCACATGTCTTCTATCAATTTATTTACCTGGCCTGAGTATTGTGATATTCTCTATCACAGAAAATACTTTTGCAAGGATGAGAAGTATTACCATCAGTTTATAGACAGAAACTCATACAGAGCAAGTTCGGATGCCAGTTGGGGAGTAAATCTAGAATTTCGGCATCCCTACTTAATTGTCATCATTAAACTATCCTTTTCTCTTTCCTTGTCCATAGAAGTATTTTTCAGCCCAGAATGATGAAGCCAGGCAGGTCACCTATGTAAAGTAAGGAAAGATGATCTCATCATTAATAAAGAGTGACTCAGAATTGCTGAATTCAACTCCCAGCATTGGCAGCATTCTCTGTGTAACCCTAGGCAAGCCTCAGTTCTACATTCATAAAACAGATTATTTTCCATACTCCCCTCCTCCCTGCTAGATGTATAGTGAAAAAATACTTCCATAAAAGATGACAGCTGCTCATGTTCGATGGAAATAACAGAAAATACGTCATGATCATGCACAGACTAACTTGCAAGGTGCAGTTAATTATACAAGTGGTTTTTTAAATTTTATTTTAATCTTCCTGTGTCTTATAGGGTAGAATAATTCTTCCCTTATTTCACAGTTCCAGTTTCTGTATCAGTCAGCAGAGCTTTAGCTTCTCCTAACACAGTTTATCAGTACCTTTCTTAACAGCTCTGCTAACTGAGAGTGTATAAGAAGACTCTCACCAGCAATCCCCAAGTGAAGTGATTATTTCTGTCACTTTGACAAGCTGTTTCAAAATATTTGGCAGACTTGTTCTTAATGGAAGCCACAGGCACCACTGGCAAGAAAAAGCAGTTATCTAGACCTTCCAAACTTAACAGCAACACCGGTTGAGATCTATTTACCTGAGGAGCACTCGTTGCTACCAAAAAGGCATTGGTCCTTCCTGGGTGATCATAATCATGCATGGCTGCAGCTACATAAAGAGCCATCAGTTCAAGGGCAGGGATGTTGCCAGCCAGGCATCCATAGCTGTCATCTGTAGGCGTGTACGTCTTCGAAAACACATAACCCATGTGGCCATGAGTGATCCCACTGTCAGAATCTGAGCAGAAATAAATAAATTAAAACAATAAAAACATCCTTATCACTTTTCAGTGACATACTGAAACTGGTAGAAGCAGCAAATTTACAATACATAACAGCAGAGTGAAAACACCCTGGCCTCAAGGCTTTCTGATACAGTGCGCGTGACCCAGTGAGTGCAATAAGGCACACAATTGGAAAGGAACAATTTCTGATCCCACCTGGGAATCTTCCAGCTATCCAGCAGAACTTGTTCTCAAACTATGTAAGATACAAGCATTAAGACATGGATTCATAGCCATGCTGGAGCTTTGTGGATAACTTGATCTTCCCACTTCTTCCTCTAATTTTTTTCACCATGTAAACTAGTCTATGAGACACTAACAGTCCTTAAAGCAATGGACTAGAATTTATTAATTAAATTACAGTGCATGTTTTCCAGTAAAAAGTTCTAAACTTTGAATCTCTGCTGGTAATCCTCTTATCAGCCTGTTTTTGAAGCAGCTTGAATACACCTATCAGACACATATACCGAGATGCTTTGCTAATGTAATCTGCTTGAATAGATCTTGCATGAAGTCTAACAATGTCTTTCAAATAACAAGCACCAAAAAGCCCCCTGTTATTCCACCTATTTCACCTCACCTACAAAGATCTCAACAACCCCTGCAAACAAACTTTTCCAGGAATAAAAACGTTTCCCACTGAAACATCATGAAGAGTTGCACAAATTATGTGTGCCATACAAACACTAAAACCAACCAACCAAAGAAATAAACAAACAACAACAATAACAAAAGAGAAGAAATGGAAGTGGTTTCTGCAGAAATAAACTCCTGCTTTTATAGTAACTCTCTGAGAACTTGCATAAAACACAGACAGTTGTTGCTGTTGCTACAGCGGAACCTGGAGAAGTTAACATAAAGATGCAAAAAGAACAGCTTCCCATAATAAAGCACTCATAAACCAGCAGAAGATTGGTCGTGCAAGCTGGTTGCCAAATGGTAACACACATCTTTGGAGGCAGTGAGGAAAGGCAAAAACTCTTCTCTACGGCCAAGCAGCAGCAAGTGCAGGCACTACCTGTATGCCCCAGCGATTTTGTAATAGCAAGACAATGCAGGGGTTAAGGTTTTAAAAGTCTTCTGAAGTAGCATTGAAAAGCACTATTAAAACAAGTTTGCCTAGAAAAAAACCCCGAATGTTGAGGAAGGTCTGCCATTATAGGTGACCACAAAGGCTTGCATTCCCACATCATTAAATGTAATTTGTTAAGTTTTGGAGGACCAAATCCCATTCTCACCAAAGCTACACAAACATACTCAAACACCTTCAACATCCGTGCCGCTACTGGACTAAAAAGTCTATACAATAACAAGTACTGCATGCAATCCTGAATTCTTGGCGTTCTTGCAGCAAACTTTGTGGCAGAAACTTTAAGAGCACAACACAGACACCCTGCACATACAGATATACCTGAATCGCTTGCTGACCCATGGTCATTGATCACGGTTGGGAGTCCCGGGATGGGCTGAGTTGTAAGGTACCACACGGCGTGCAGAACATCAGTTGCATGGATTCGGTTGTGATCTGCGACACAAAGAAAACGACCCCGCTGTTGAACAGGGAGGATGTTTCCGACAGAGGGATATCAGCACCATCTAGTGGGCATCTCGTGCCAGCCGAGCGAGCAGAGGCAAAACAAACTTTCATCACGAGCGTGACAGTTGTTTTGGGTTTTTTACCTCTTCGCAGACATGAAAAACTGGAAGGTAAATTAATTTTGCACTAGCCAAAATATTCCTCTCTACTAAGAACAAAACACACCTAAGGAAAACAAGGAAACAAAGAGCTAGATTCACAAAAATTCCAGAGACCATGAATAACTTGAATATTTTAAACAAAAAGGAATGGCTCCAGTAGGACAGATAGACAGTGGGACTTCTACCTATAATATGCCCAGGCTATAATCTGCTGCTTCAAGTCCTTGATCTGGTTCAAACATAAGGAAAGATTTGAAACTGGACTCACTTGCTTTTCCAGAAGAGAGACCAAAGCACCTGCCTGGGAGGCATTTCAAGGAGCTTTCCTTAAATACCTCTCACTGTAACTGTTCCAATTGGTATTTAATATTTTGACAGAGAGACTATATGACTTCTTAGAATGATGTTTCATGTATTTTTCTGTGATGGTAGAGAAAACAGCATGTCCTGTGTTCCTCAACACTGAGGTTACCTGCCAGCTAAAACAGGAAGTAAAAACTCCCTCTTTTCCCTTGGAAAACAACTGGCTTTTCCAGTTGAAGCAGTCTGGTAAATTGGATTTTAATTAGTAAATAATTTATGGATCACGGAAAGCAGGATTCTCAGTGAATAAATGGTTCCCACTGAAAAAAATATCAATATGTAGTTGCAGAAGAACAGAATGCACTCATGTACTTGGCATACTTTGTCTGCTTTAAAAAATTCATCTCCTGTGGTAGCACAGCTCTACTACTGTGTAAAAGTCCAAGGTGTTTTTGAGGGGTAAATGTTTCAAGAAACTCCAGCTGGGACACTGTGCTACACTTGCATCATCAGTAAACAGTCCTTTACCTGATGGCTTTATGTGGTTTATGGCTTGGAGAGAATTTGCCGTGAATTGTTATGAAACAACATGAAACATAAAATGCATGAAAAAAACCCCAAACCATGAGAGGCTGCAGTTCCGCAACAGACTCTTACTAGAGAACCATCCATTTGGTTGTGATGTAGCAGAAGAAAAAAAAAGTAGCTGCTATAATGAGAGAAGGAAGGCTTCAATACCAAAGTGTGTGGAAAATACTCAAAAATTTAAGGAAGCATCATTATGGGCTGGGAATTTTTACTTACAAGGTATCTCTCGGTATCCGCATTCCAAGGCATGAAAGTAATTCATAAATTCCTTCACTGGTATTTTAAAGGTTTCAAACAGTCCCATGTCTTCAAAAAGCCTGTATGATACCTGGAAAAACAAACAAATAAACAATCAAAAAACCCCATGTTGCTAAATAAATCAGAAAACCTCTAGAAATTAGATATAAAACTCCTTAGGTCAAATAACGCCATGAAAACCTGCTTTCCTAGTAGTATTTTCTGAAGTTCACCTGATCCAGCTATAGCTGCAGCTATTTGCACTTCCACAGGAATGTGGCTACATAGCCAGATAGAAAAGCTATTACTATCAACCATTCCTCCTCATTCCTTTATTACACCCTTCCAGATTTTCTTCTCTTCCTTTCAGGAATATGCCCTCTCTGAAATTTCACAAGCACCTCAGAAACCTAGAAACATAAAGATGTTCAGAAGTTTCCCCACAAACTTCTCCAAGGAGCATCCTCGAGTTAATTCCCAGAAAAGGGGGAAACAAGTAAAGGAATGACAAAAGGAGTAACTATTTGGATTCTATGCATTATCTCCTTTCCTTTTATCTCTCATTTTGGAAGTGAAACGGAAAAAATGACTTAAATGGGATTATAGAGGCAGCAAGTGGCTTAGGAAGCAGAGCTGCCTCAAGTGTTCCTGTATGGAAAGATGACTGCAAACATCCAGGAGAGGATATATTGGAAAGGGAGGATGGGATAGATCAGTGAGGAGATGTTCAGGAAAGACGAATGCTCAGAAATGTAGACAGCAGCTGCTGCAAAATGGGCACTTTTGAAGACAAGTTTGAACCTGACATATAAAACAATGGGGCACAATAAAATCACTACCTGACCTTCTCACTTCTTTCACAAATTGGACCCTAAAGCTTTTCAGCTCCTTTATTTACTTACTGCTGTTAGCTAAGTTCTGTCCTTTTGATGCCCTCTGTCTGGTAATGAACTGCCTAGAGCCAAGCAGTTTGAAGCACATCTGGACTGATGAGTGCTATATGATAAGAAATGGTTCAAATTACCTTTTATGGTTTACATCTGAGTGTAAATCAAACATCTATCCACGAATCTTTCTGCATACTGTGTATATAAATTGGGACCCGTGAGCTGCCCCTAAAGTTTAATGAATGTAAACTTCAAATGCCCCTCCACTGTGGAATTTTACAGTAAGAATAGGAAAAAGGATATGAATTTGCAGCATTAATGATCTTCCCATGCCTTTCCTCACAGTCATTCCCCACCAGGAAAAACCTGCATGTGAACTAACTCTGGCAAAATGTTACAACAGGCAGTGATGATGCAGAGCCAGGCTGAGTGTGATGTCAGACCCCATCTATGATGACCCTCTAATGACCAATATATCTGACAGTTGGGGTTCTGCTGGTAGCCCCAGCTCTTACTTCTGTTCATGAGCTTAGAATAAAAGATAGGGCCTATAGAAGGCAAAACTTTACTCTCTGAAAACCCAATGGGAGCCTCCTGTACTGCAGCAGAGTGAAGAAAGAGACCTTACATATAATTTGGATTAGAATGTGCAAAGAACAATTTTTATCTATCTGGAATCATAGCTTAAGTATTTCACCTACAGAGAGATGAGGAATCTTACATTTTAGTTTTATATCAGTGAAATGTAAGCTTCTTATTTCCATCAGAATATTTCTGTATAAAAAGAGGAAGCATATAGAAATATTATTCTGCATCACCAAACCTTACTGGTCTGTACTAGCAGTACTGGACAAGTATCTTAAATAAAGCTTGTCATAAAAGCATATTTTTCCTTTCCTTGGATCTTGAGAGGTGGGCAATTTCACAATTGAAAAGAAGCAAAGTTGACTGTGATGGCTATGAATGACAGCTCTTCCACACCCAAGAAACTCATCTGGACATCTTGGGGATTTTTATGTCTTTCTCTTAGAAAATGGAGAGAAGGCAGAGGTAAGGGCAAGTCAAAAGGAGGAAAAAAGGGCATTGATGTCTTCCGCAAAGTCAATTACCTAACTTCTTTCATTAAAAAAAACAAAAAAAAAAAACACCTGTGTAAACTTTGTTTATTCATTGCTCTGGATTAAACATTTTAAAATGCTTCTGTCTTTTTAAATCTGTTCTTCCCAACCCTCATCCTCTTTCATGAGCTCTCCGGGAGTTAGGATCCCAAGGGCCGAGGTGTGATCCCTGTTCCAGGGACAAGCCCAGAGAAGCTCCCATGTCTGCCAGGTGCTTGGCAGTGGGTGCCCCACACTGCCCCTTCCCTCCAGCCTCCATTTGCTGCTTGTCCCTGCCACGACTGCTAATGCTTAAATGAATCATTTATAGCTCAGATATTTCTGGCAGTGCTGCCTGAAGAAGGACAAGCTCTTCTGCATGATTTGTAATGGAACCTGGTTTGGACACAGGGGTTGTTATTCACATGTAGCCCATCTCCTGGGTTTTGCAGGAGCACAGGGATGGCTCTCGTTTGAGCACATGCAAAGATTAGATTAGCAATTCCCTTCTCATTGTTTGCAGGCAAAGCTCTTGCACTACTTTTTTTTGTCTCCTGTATTTGCTTTCTTCAGATGTGTTTTTTTGAAGTGGTTGGCACCCCGCTCTGGCTCTGGCAAACACAGCTCCTCCCAAGGGCTGCTGTGGTGATCCCAGGAATATCCCATCCCCCAAGGATTGGTTTCCCGTGCTCCTTCACATCTGCAGTCTCTCTGCAGAAGCCATGTGTGACAATGAGGTGAGCACACAATCCTCTTGGCACCACCCAGACCCTGCAATGATGCCACCCTGCCCCTGCCACGGCTCCTGTACTGCCAGCATAGCAGCACCTCCACTTCTCATCTCTATGGGCCCAGGAATAAAAGCTAAACCTTGACTTCAGCCTGTACTTTTTTCATGTTATTTGCTTTCCGAGCCAAATAAGTTAATTTGCCACAGGTTTTAGTTTTACAGGAGCTGTGAGAAGAGTGTTAAGTGTGACTGAAGTGAGACTGGATGTACATTGCTCTCTAAACCCTATCATGCATCGTTGTTACTGCCACATTTAGAGTGCTTGCCACTGTACTTTGCACAGATGCTTTTGTGGTCACTGACTGGTTCAGGGTCTTTTTATATGTCTAAATCAATTTAACATTCCAAAAAGGAGAAACAGACATCTCAAGCAGCTTTAAAGATGCTAAGCCAGCATTTGCTTTCTAAACTGAATGCATCCCTAGAGGCACGTGTCAACTCTGCTTTGTTCCATCCCATAAATTTAACTTAGCAAGACAAACATAGTTAATTCAGCTTGTTAATTTACTTTTTTTTTTTTAATGGATGAGTCCATTTTACAGCAAAATACAGAGAATAAATCATTAGACCTTTTTTTTCCTTTGTTTAGAATATCTCAGGATTTAAAAAATATACAAGGAAAGAAAGTACTTTTGGCTGGAGAAAAAGATTTATTTATCTTTGTTCCCTTATTTCTGAAAATAATTTTATAAGAAATATCTGAGTAGGTGGGGGAAAGAACTAAAAGATCTATCTTTATTTTATGAACAAGGCTGAACTTGCTACATTCTGCCATTAGGGAGTGGGAGTTATTATAAACAGCTGTTACAGAAAATGTTGAATTTTGATCACAAATATTATTTCTTACAGCTTCTCTATTTTATTTTACAGGCCTCATTTTGTGGCACTGTGAAGTGCTGTGCACATCCTCAGAAGCTGCGCAAAAAGCAGATTTTGGGAGAGTGTGGAGCTTTAGTGCAAATTGAGGGAGGCACAGGGGAATTGTCCCCAGAGGAACAGAACTCCATGTAATTTAATAAAGTGCTTAAAACCTATAGAGATACCCAATGCAAAACCAGAAAAAATTTTGGATAAGAAAGATCCAAAAGAAAGTTCCAGAAAGTTCTGGCCTTATGTTTAATTTATCATTCTATTATTATTCTGTGGTATCAGAAAAAACCCTGACCCATATGATCCAGAAGAGTATTTTTAACACACACTCACTGTCCAGTGCAAAAGCGTCTCAATAACCACAACTGAATTTATATCAATATCCACATCCAGCCACACTTTGCCTATTTCTCTAACACTAACCCAGAGACTTGGCAGGCTGGTCAAACACAGATGTTGCTTGCCAAGCTCCAGAACACTAAAAGGCAGACAACTGAATATATTTGAATTCATGCCATGGTTTTCCTTGTTGACCATCGGATAATTGAATCGAGCTGAATAATAGGTAATCACCAAGGGACTGTGATTTGATACAGCATTCTCTGGAGCTCATTACACTGAGATCTGCCTGACACACTAACCTCTGTGTTTGTGGGGGGGTGTTAATTGTCTCTTATTGTACCAATTAACTTTATCTCTTCTCTCCAGCACTCATCACTACATAATGCCTTGTAAAGTGGTACTAGTTCGCTCAGATTCTCTTGGGCTCGTTTTCCTTCCATCCCTAAATAATAATAAAAATTATTTGCCTTTCTTGTTTAATAATCTTCAATACTTCCATGAGAAAAAATGGCTAATTTGTCAGTGTGCCAGGAAAAGGGGCATAACAAAGCAGAAAGTTCAGCCAGGAAAGTGATTATGGAAGTGACACTAATCCTGCTGGGTAGAGACAGGCTGTGTCAGTAACTGGATTCAACTCCCAGGAAGGAATAAAACTCTGATAGTTCTGATAGCTGAAAGAAAGACCAGCAAGCTCTCCCATCCTAATTCACAGCAAATTAGTCTTCCCTATGTAATAATTATATGAATTTTCTATCAAAGTTCTGACTGTTTAAAAATTGAGGAATATAGCAAGGACTATTTTTCCTCCCACTTTCTCAAACCCTGCTCTCTAAAGCTCTGTATATCCTGTACCAGTTTGCACATATTTACTGTTTAGCCCTCCCATGCTGTACCCTATGAGAAATCCTTCCACACAGAACTCAGTAAGGGGCGGCAGCACCTCCTGCAGATAGAAGAGATTATTCAGAAAGGTTCATGTAAACTCATTGCCAGAGGGCAGCAGGCAAAATAGGTGTGTGGTTTACCCTTTCACAGTTTTAAATTAGAAAACATAGACATTTAAAAGTAAGGAATGTAGTGAGATGGAGTTCATATTGTCAGCTCTGAATTAGGTGACAGGGATCACGATTCACTGGATGACCAGCTTGTAAGGACAGTGGGTCTTAACACTATGTCTAAATCTGTCAATATTCCAACCCAGACACTGCAGACAAGATATACCTCTCACCTGACTGAGAATCCGACCACATTTCTTTCCAATTTTTTCCACCAAATCAAAGATTGGGAAGTTCCAACTATTTAGCTGCTCCATCAGGGGATCGAGGTTGTCCATAACCAGAGGCTCAGGAGCAAGTACAGGCTTGTCCTGTGCCAGAAATCAGAGTAAAGAGGAGCATTAGTTCAGTGAAGCGTCTCATGCAAAAAATTATGCTCTTATCACATTAGCATCATCTGTAAGTCGATGGTACTTTACTCAGCTCAGTGGAGATGTCCTCATTTCTACCAGCCCTGCAGCAAGTCAATCTCCTTTATAATGTGTTTCACTTGAATGAATTGAAAATTCTGTATATGAAACATCAGTGTCTGAACTTATCCATGAGACACATTCATTCATTCACTCATAGGAATCATCCATTCATTTCCAAGGGAATCTGTCTTCATTGTAAAATTTGCTGCAGTGCAGAGGGAAAAGCTCTCAGTTTCTACTTCTCAGGACCCATTCATTACAATCCAACAAGGCTAATGAAGCTCAGTCCAAGTGAAGACTTTTGCTCCTTAAACTGAAACCTACCTGTTTTCCAAGGTCTGCAAATAAAAGATGGATTGTGCCCCTCCTTTCACATTTCTCCCTGCATACTTCCTAGAATTACATTTTACTAAGAAACTGTAGATGAATAAATGACAAAATGTTTCAAGCAAAATGCCTTTTCTCAGCATGTCCAACTCCAACAGATTGCAGCAAATTTTTCAAAGAGCTCATGCCAACTTGAATTTATTAATTCAGTTGTACAACAAACTGTGAAAAATGAAACTAAACAAAGCCTTTCTTCTGCATCTCAACTAAACTTACAGCTGAACACAGCAGCTGTATCAGCACTTATTCACTATACTGCAATGTTCTTATGTTTAAGACATGTACCAATAAGAAAATCTTGCAGCACCCTCAGACCAGTGTTCATTTATTTTAAAATATGGGCCACAGTATATATTAGTGAAGATTGCAAGCCCATTGAGAAGCTGAAGTGGCTGAACAGTAACACTATATATCATGCTGCCAGCCTGAGAAGATCATTTCTCTTCCTTCCAATCTATTCCCTTTAAAGGAAACTAACACAGAGGCCAAAAATTTCAGAAATGCCTAATGCTAGATCCATAAACTTTTATCCACCAAAATAGATGGTTAGTGTTTCATAAGTGGCCAGTGCTTAGCTGCCCTGACACATTTCAATGGTTCCTTTCAATTCTTGAAAGTTAATCCTCCTTCTGCAATTGTTGCTAAAACCATGATTATAACCTTTAGACAGCCCCAGGGTGCTGTGTTTTTTGGTGGTTTTTTTTTGTTTTGGTTTGGTTTTTTTGTTTGTTTTGGTTTTTGTTTGTTTGTTTGTTTGTTTGTTTTTTCTTTGTGGGAGGGTTTGATAGATTTCAATTTTGGTTTGGTCTTTTTCCCACTCTGTATCAGCATACACTCGGTCTATTGTGCGAGTGGGATTTAGACAAGCTACCTCAGGTGGTATCAAGGGATGCAGGATGATGGTCTCGGGCGTGTAGGACCTACAGACAGATCCCTTCCGTGTCTGCTCCTTGGAGCAATCTGTCTCGTCGTCGTTCTGCACGATGTCGCTGCTGTCGCTGTTGTTGGTCTCGTAGTCAGAAGTGGCTTGCGCGGGATCATCTGCAACACAAACCACAGAGCTCGGTGTGTGAACAGCAACAACTCCATGAAAGGCACCCTGTGACCTTCCGAATAACAGCAACAGGATCTCTGACTCATAATACATATGTGCTGCTTGGCTGGGTCAGAGGCTGGACAATCTGTCCCCAAGGCATTAAGGCATATACCCTGCAGAGTGTAAAAAAATGGGACCAGGAACTGAAGAGTAAAAAGATTTTGAGGATTACTGTTTGTGCTGATTAAGTCAAATGAGGGAAACCATATTTCTTTTATATTTTAACTCTATTTTTTGTTAGCATTTTGTACATGTTATACATACAAAATGGCAAGAAGCCTCAAAGACAATTTGTATGGTATCACCTACATATGTTCTCCCTTTATGACAGACAAGCATGTCTGTCCTTTCATTACTGCATTTGAAGGAATAAGGTGTTTTTGACAGACAAAGAATTACCTGTTCTGTTCAGGGTGTGTGTGGTAGCATCATTTCTGTTTAGTGTCCCATCACCAGCTTCTATTTGGTTATAGGGTCTGCCACAGCTGAAATACATCAAGAAATTTGCACAATCAGACAGTATTATGTAAAATGATTTCCTGCTGACAGCGCAAGATTATGTCATACAATATGAACCATGGTCCAGGGTGCATTCTCCAGACAAAATTACAAGAGAGACCTGAAATTTTATTGGAACTCAGGAAAATAAAAGGAGAAAAATACAAAAAGACCTTGGATTAACTGGCCATCACCATTAAATTTGTGTTGCCAAGAGTAAACCTGTAATATGTGATTTTCTTTTTAAGTGAATTTCTTACTCTCTAAATTTATCAGTTAAAACAGAAAATTAAAAAATATCCCGTTTCTGTACTACAGCTGCCTTATGGAAGTGACAACATACCAAGTACATAAGAACAAAGAGGGCATTTTGGACAGAACATGAGGTGAGTGATCTGACATCCAGACATTTACCAGTGAAATAACTAAACAGAGTTTGCTTCACCATACCCAGAACAGAAATACGTTCTGGGAGGGACCATAATATCATGGCCCTTTCAAATGTCTGGCTCTTCTCTTCCAGTAAAAAGCTTTATTCCTTGTGTGTGATTCCCTTTAAGCCCTAATTGTGAATTCAATACCAGCTGGAATGTTTCAAATTATAATGTCCCAATATGATTCAGTCTAGGACCTGAAGAAACAATGGTATATCATGAAAACATGACAGAACATAACAAATCTGAAGCCTCATTTAGCAGTATTATATCAAATCTGTCCCCAAAAAACTGACACTTTACATGTCTTTCTCTGGTTTGAGTCAGTATTTTGTGACATAGCTCATATGTAACAGCCTTTGAAAAGCAACTATTATAAAATTATTTTCATTGGTCAAACTTTGTACTAGAAACTTTGTACCATTGTAAGTTCAACATGTAAAAATGGCTGAAATCCTGTGCCAGAGGGGTTTTGACTGAGTCATCCAGAACATATCCTGGAGCTTGATACGCTCTGCAAACAAAATGAACCCCTGAAAGACTTTTAAATAAAAATGCAAATCTGTATTCAATGATACCTGTAGTGCATAGCCAAGCAAATAAATCATGTATCACTCAGGTTGCTAAACAAGATGAAAAGAAAGTATTCATTTCTCTGTCCTGCATTCCTTGTGATTTCCATAAGATCAGTGATAGAGAGCCTTTGATTGGGTGTAATGCCACAATGTTTTTTGCATCACTTTGAGTGCATCTCTTTATTTCCTGAACATATGCAAACTCACACTGATTTAATATGTATGGTCCACAAAACACTCTCTTGAAATAAAAAAAATTACTGAGCTAGCCAGCAGCACACTTGAAATCCTCTGTGTTGGAAGTAAACGTGCCCATGCAACTTTAACTCAATCCCTTCATGCACAGGCATTATAATACCCTCTTAACTTCAGGATTGTTTAATAGTTTTTGCACAGGATTCCTGCCTCATGCACTAAGCAGAATTAATACATGATTACTTACAAGTTATTTTACTGGCATTGCCTGGTGTATGTTCTTGTTTACTGTGGTTTTCAAACTGTGCTGTCCTACCACATTTCACCTTGTTAGTAAAAAAGAAGTACAGTAAAACTGCCATGTTGATGCCACTGCCTGGGTGGATCTGACTTAAAACACTGAACCCATCAAGAGTTCATTTCCTTTTCTGTTGTAGGGAGTGAGAATGGTTTGCTGGTGGCAGAGGTTTGCTGACTTGGCATTACTCCCCTGCAAGGCAGGTGTTTTGGCAGTAAACATAGCAGGTTGTACGCCATGAAGACTAGCAATCTACTGTGCAAGAGCTCAGAAATTGAAAATTTACTTCCAGTGTGTTAATTTAATTCTCACAACTTGTTAACCGTTTAATTTCTTTGTATCTGAGATTTTTTTGTTTTGATTTTGCTTTTTAATTGTGTCTACACTACTAATGGGTGCATTATTTGCATGCTGTTAGTTCAGTTTTTATCTGTGGATTTGACACTTCTATATACTAATGGTTAGAAATGTGACAGTGCTTGTAATTTTTCAGCAGTGACTTAAAGGAAGAGCGACTATTAGCACCAGTGAATGACAATTCTATTAGCAAATTACACCATAATATTTTAAATAATATTTTTTTTTTCAAATAATCAACAACAAAGTCTGGGTCAGCAATGTAACTATTTGCAATGCTTACACAGTCTAAGCTTTTGAAAATAAGCAAACTGAACCCTCAATTATGCTGTATAACCTACATAGATCCAATAAGACAGCACCCACACTAAAGTTAATGGCCATTTTACCAGTAATTACAATGAAATCAAAGTTTGCACATATGAAGAACATATATTTCATCACTACCTACAACAACCTTACATTGATTTTTTTTACATTTTTAATGCAACTGTTAACCATTCTCTTTAATAGAAGGCTTCCAGACATAATTGTTACTTGTGAAAGTAATAATATTTTGTTGAAGTAGTAATAAAGGTACAGCTTAATAAGACAGTAGCACCTTTAGGTTATATTTATGTTGTGTAATACAGCTTTCATTTCAAATTATTCAGCCCAAGTCCCAGTTTTGCTATGACTTTGGAAAACTTTTAAAAGCACTTAAAATTTCTATTTAGTCATCTAAATCCAACTTAAAAGCCTGTTAGGATCCTAGTCTGAAGTACAATGAAGATGATTCCCTTGAGCAAACTTGCAGTCTCAGTTTGACTTTCTCACACCCCCTCCCTTGTCCTGCACTCAGTGTCCTGAGACACATCCACAGCCACGTGACTGAAGCCAGAAAGGAAAAATCATTTCCAAAGATAGTCAAACTTGATATCAGTTAACCCAGCCTCAGATGACATGCTGTCCACTATCTGGCCATTAATCACAAATCACTGCTATGTCAAAAAGTGACATCTAGTGAGTAAGGTAACCCTGAAACTGCACTGGAAAAGGTTTAGAAATAGCTGTGTTTTCCACTGTTCTGGACTGGACACATATTGCAAACTCCACTAATACAATTTAGCAACTGAATCCTTTCTGAGAAGATAAGCAGAACAACTTTCTTTCCAAAATGCTGATTTTGCAAAGCAGGATCAGCCTGTGTTATCTAATAAAGGGCTACTAAAGTGTGAAATTAAACTGTGTTACTCTTAGTATTTGAAAGAATTTATCTGCAGTTGATTTCTGAAAAAAAATCCTGACTGCATTTAATCTGACTCTGCCTAGGGAACACAGGATCCACTCCTCTTGAGAGAATGCTCAAAATTATGAAGCCTTCAGGAATTGTTGGCACATCTTTACCAGAAGCCTACAGGCCAGAATCTTTTAAACCCTCGCAGGCAGATTTTTCTATCAAACATCAGGTGCCTGCTGTGGAAGACTCGGCCTGTGACCTGAAGCTGACTATTCATATTAGGGGGCATGGCGTAAAAAACACAGATTGTTACCATGAAATCCAACTTTGGGATCTGCAAATCATTGGCAAAGAATTTATTTATGAATCAGAATGTCCATCTGACATCAGTAAAAGCAATAAATGTAGCTAACGCTCTTCCACTTAAAAAGTATTTTGTAGCACCGATCTACACAATAAGTCAAATACTACAAACTTGAAATGTCAATACACAATACTGCAGTAAATCACAAAATCTTGTATGTGGGCCGAAAGAGCATGTTCCTGAGAACAATGTGAAATTAATCTACTCATGTCAAATTACAATCTTACCTGCTGCAGATGACAGAGGGGCTGATAACAGGATCTGACAGGGGAGGTGCACTCTGAGAAGATGTTAAGACTTTGTGTGGCTTTAAACCCTGCTTGGTGTCAGTATCTGTAGAGTCTGGAAATGATACAGAAGATGTTTTTCCAGTAGGACTTGTGGCAGGGGTCCCCTGAATTGGTGAATGACATGGGGAGGTGAGAGGTGAAATATTTGGTGGGATACCTGGCAAGAGAAAAGAAGAGTCTTATCAATTAACAGAAGTGGCAAATGGTTGCATTAGTTCACTGCGCAGAAATACTCCTCTTGAGATGCACAAGTACCATCATAACTTCCAAAAAGAAAAATAAGAGAACACCCTGCTCCACTCTGAGCCAAGTCCAGGGCTGTTACAGGCAGATGAAATTCCATCAGTATCAGCCACTTCTACCTGCTGAAGATCTGGCTCAAAATACAAAGCATATTTTCCCTTGAGCAGGATGCACTAACTGACAGGCATGAAATGAAAGGCACGTGTTAGTGGTGTGACTACTGGTATCAACATGTTTTACTGACAGAGACACCACCAAACTCCAAATAAGCAGTTCCCAGCCCCATCTGCAGATGCCAGATCCATCTTTGTTTTGCTCTCTCCATCTGTAAAGCTGGGACAAGAACAGCTTACACACATTCCCAGAAAATCCAGATTTTTGAAGACTAAGAATAAACCAAAAAACCAATTTTTAGTGGTCACCCATTATATAAAATACTGCACTTCTGGTGCCATTTCTGCACTCCTTATAGATTTTGGCCTGGATCTTGTGCAGTTTGAGTTTAGTTTTCAATATCTGTTGCTCACTGAGGGAACTTGCAACCATTACCTGTACCACGTGGTACTGTACTCCTGAGCTAGTGTATCATGAACTGCCAATATCCACATGTGTGAGCACCAGTGAGATGTAATTCTCTCTCTCCCTTATTCTGTCTAAGCACCACTGCCAAGATGAAATGCATCAGCTGGTCCAGAGCTTGAAACAAAGTGCTGCCTTTTTTTTTTTAATCCACTTTACATTTTTCTAGTCTCAGACAAAATTCCGGTCAAAGCGTAGAGGGGCAAACTTAATCTATCTTGAAAGGAAATGCGCATAAATTGAGTTACCTCCTGTTCTAAAGTTTGTAGGAACTCAGCCCCAGTTAATTTACCACATTCATCTTCAAAGCCAAATGATAGAAAGACCTTAGGAACTTGAAACTGGTTTATGTTTGAATTGTGCCCACTATCTAAATGTATTCCAGACACAAAAATTATCTTACAATAAGGCAATATGTTGGCTTATTCTAAGTTTATGAAATGCTAACCTTGCAGGATATGTGTATACAGTTCCAGTGTTTTTTCCTGATAGAAAATTTCTGTGATATGAGGCTAAAATATGATTTATTTTTGATAATCCAAGAGTTAAAAAAAAAAGTTCTGACAGTTTTGGAGCTGTAATTTGGAGACATCCAACATCTCCTCAGTTTTGATTAGGTATTTCTTCAGCAAACATGTGGTATGTATTACTGTCTTAATTCAGTGACTGAAAGTAGGATATTATGCTTGTCTTGAGATCAGAAAACTACAGCCTTCAGAGCAATTAAAATGTTATCAGATGGCCGTGACACAGGGAAATTGCTTTAAAATACGGAAAACCTCTGTTTCTCATTTATGAATTCATTGAGATATTGGCTTTCCATCCAACAAAAATACGTCTCTACATTTTGCAATCTGTTAGATGTGCAGGAGATGGAGTATTATTATTATTATCTGGTTTTGAGCTACATGTTACCAGGTAATATTCATGGCTCTTAGAGGATACAATTCAGAAGATACAATACATATGGTCATCTTTCAACAGTTAAAACAAGTCCTGGGAATTTAAACAGCATTTCTCACAATAATGTTTCTAATCACAGCTGCCTTTCTACTGCTTCTCTGGGCTCCTGTCTCCTGACATATTTTTTTGTTGTGTGTGTTTTTGGTTTTCTTTTTTTGTTGTTGTTTAAAGAGTAATTTTCCAGAGTAGGTGACCATAAATAAATAAATTTACAAGAAAAATGCAAACCTATTTTCAATAATCTAACATTTAACCATTACTGGCAAACGTAAGAGTAAAAGTGTCTTGCTACAGCAAGGAATTTTGAACAGTCAAGATAAGAGAAGAATAAAAATACAAAGAGAAATTTTTAAGTACATCCATCTGCTTAGGTACTCCAGAACTTCATATGTGCAGTGTGGAAGATATAAAACAGTGACTTCAATGTGATGTGAAATGACACATGAAAACACTTGATTTTTTTTTTTGGTGAAAATAGATATAACTAGCAGCTGTTTTCATGCATAATTAAAGACACATTTTATAAATTAACAGATTTACAGATTTAGCTAGATGAACTTCTACTAATAATTATTGTATCTTGCAAATGGGGCTAACATATAAAAGTCTATTTGCAATTAACTATTGCAAATTGAAATAATTATTTAGTTGGAACATGAAAACAAATCGTAACTAAAAATGCATGATTATAAACAGCCTAAAACATTGAAATATCAATCTCCTACATAAAATCCTGACACAAAACTTTTATTCCTCTCCATCAATACCCCTAGGAACTGCTTGTGATGGAATGGAGATCCCCCTTCATCATGTGGGAGCTCACATACCTGGTCAATAGAGATGGCTATTAACACTTTCTGAAAGCGGATTTTACTATATATAAAACTGACTGATGAGGTTGGTAAGTGTTGTTTTCCAAATACAAAATATTATACACCCCACCCCTTTCCCTTTGAATTCACTTGGTAATCTCCGAAAATTACAAGTCTAAGTGTAATATTTGTTGTGTTTTAAAACAATTTCCTGGATTCTTGGTACAGTATCTCCATTATTTTCCAGGTTTAATTTATTCAGTTGCCTATGTGCCTATTACCTTTTAAGATAATACTGTGTCACTTAGTCTTCCTTGTGATAACACAAAGCAGCTTCTGTACAAGAGGAGATGTTGTACAGTTCTCCTCAGTTTGAAAAGGAGATGAGATGTGACAGTGTTAGATACACAAAATAATTGTGCAGCCATATCTTCAAACCCATCTCTAAGTTGGGATTCTCTGGCTTTTTCAATGTCAGGCCTCAGGCACATATCAATTTCCACCTGATAGGTAGGTGGCCAGTATCTCTGAGTAACATTATCTCAACATTATTCCATGTTTGGAAAAAACCCGGGCTGATATAAAAAAGGGAGGCCTTGTGATAATTTTGAATTGCAAGTTAAAGCATGAGTAAACATTATATGATCCTGCATTTTTACAGGGAGGAGAACCACATTACTGTGGATTAAGGCTGCTTCATGGATGTCATATCAAACATTTCATTATCAATTCCAAAGTCACCTTCTCAGTTTCTTTCCCTAGTTAAAACAGGAGTAATGGGAGGTTTTTTTTGAATCTCAAAAAGCAGAGTGAAAAGCCAAAACATTTACAATGGCATCACTATGAGCTATAGCATTTTAAGACACTGTGTTGTTTTTTCTTAAATCCAGGAAATAACTACATCATATTGATGGAAAAATAAGAAAAGAGGCAGACTGGATAGAGAACAAAAGCAGTTGCACTTGCTAGTCATGGGGAGCAGCTACGTGAGCCTGACAGAGCCACGGATGCCCACTCACCTTGCCGGCTCTGCCTTTTGGCATTCAGGTGATTGGTAGAAGACATGGCATAGGAGGTGGAGAAGGACCTGCTCTTTGAGATTGTCATCAGAATTGAGCTGTTCCAGGAGTCAGGGCTGCAAAACCAGAGCACAGACAAGCACCATTTGACACAGGAAGAAGCCTCAGTGGCAGATCTTAAGAGGTTAGGAGAGCTGCAGCAAGAAATACGTGATACTGGGATAGCACAAAATCTGACAAGGAGAACAACATCTATGGGCTGGCTGAACTGCAGTTTGTGAGGCATTCAGTACTGTGTTCAGCAAAAATATTTACAATGTGGACACTCCAAAAGCTGGGCTTCCTTTGCTGCTCAGGCCTATTCGCTTTATTTATACAGATGCCTTCATTATATTGTTCTGACAGTACGCAGAGGCTCAAGAGTTGACCTGAAATAAGTTAAATTTATATTCTCTTTTAACACCTCCCTAAAAGAACCAGAAATGAAACAAGTTCTCAGTGTAACTAAAAGCCCAGTCTCCTCTGCTGCTGGTGCCACAGCAGATACCCACCAACCCTTAGGGCAGCAGAGGAGCTCCTCAAGAGACCAGAGGGGTCCAGAAGCACCCTGCATGGCCATGGCTCCTGGTGTGCCTCTTCATGCTCTAGCCAGCTGAAATGCATGCTGCATCCCCCCAAAAAAATCCTACTGACAGACCCTGAAGACACTGGTCCAAGAGAAACATAATGAGGGAAAAAATGGGGCATGTGGAACAAAGGCTTGTCCCCCATAACAGCATGGGCCCACGCTTTCAGCCTTCAGCCTAGAACTCTCCACCAGAAGAGGCCAAATTCTTCTGTACAGCAAGAAAACTGTATTTATGATTGTTCTCAAGTGCCACTCATCAAGTTTCAGCTGCTTGCAGGGATGCAGCACTGGCTCTTATGAGGCAAGGCCTGTGAGCCCTCTGGACAGATCCACCAGGCATCTCAGGCTCCATGTTCCCCCTCACAGCCTCACATGCAAGTGTTGAGGTGACACTTAAGCCAGAAGACAGATTTTTAAAGTAGCCTAGCTCTGGCTGAACTTGAAAAAAAAGAGGAAAGTTAAAAAACAAAACAAAACAAAACACTGAAAGAAAAGATCTTGTAACACTGTGTTACACCTCTGCAAACATATTGTTTTGGAAGAGAAGTACTACCTACAAAAATATTTGCTGGATATTTCCACTGGCCCAAATTCCTATAATCTGTGATGAGACAAAGAAAGAATTCAGATTTTAAAAATTTTTCTTCTTTTTTTTTTTTTTAAATTTTGTTTTATGGTTTTATTTTGTTTTTCAACTGACACAAAGAATATCACACGCTGGCCACCGTAAAGTTCAAAAAAAAAACCCAACAAAACAAACCAAAAATCCCCAAATTCTTTGACTTCTTAAGGGAGAACCACTGGATATAGAAGTGACTAAGGGAGAGAATGTGGAAGCTCTATTATTTTTTCTGTACCATTAGAAGCTGTAAGAGGACCATGTCTTACCAGTTTATTGACAGAGGGTTTGAAGAATACAATATTACTGATCTCAAACAGAAATTTAAGGGGGATTTTTGCAAATTTGTGACTGCGGAAATCTAGAGATGATGTCCCAGGCTCTGAGGAACAAGTTGCAGATTTTGTAACTGTGGCATCTGCCGCAGGGAAATCCCAGTGTCAGTGTCTCTCCTACTCTTCAACCCATGAAACATTTCTTTCTCTGTGACCTGTGGAGTGCTTGAATTTGGTTTGGTACAGGGGAAGTGGCAGATAATCAAGACTTTTTCTCTCTCAGTTCAAAATTCTTCTCCTTGAAAGAAAATCTCTCTTGGTCTGCCAAAACTTTTAAAGCTAGACTTATAGGATCCATTTTTTCCCTTTCTGGAATACACATTGTTTCTCCTACTGTAAGAGAAGTACTACAAACAGTAGGCTGGGAGGCTTGACAGAGCTATAATTACACAATTGGCGACATTAAACATAGGAAGAATTGATAGCCTGCTTAGTTGGCTCATCGTGCAGAGTTATGTAAGAACCGTAGGAAAGGACCAACAATAATATTTAATTGCTCTCCTTCTCCCTCTGATTCCCATCTTGGGATGCTTACATACTACGTGAGACTGGGATCAACAGCATAAATCAAATACACCCTGGGAACCACAGGTCGGCAAGTGAAGAGCATTTCCATTTGGTTCTAGCTTTTACTGAGATAGCTGGGACTCCTCACAAAGGGAATTTTGGCCAACCACGTATTTTTCTCGCAGTGTACTTTGCAGGCTGCCTTGAGCACCTTGATGCCCTGCATGAGGGTCTCCTCTGTGGGAAAGGTTTATGTATCTGGAGGAAAGGCTGACCTGGGAAGAATGCAGCTCTCTGGGGCTGTGTTCACACAAGCTATTTAACAGCCAGCACTGGTGATGCCAGGCCCTCTCAGGTCCTATATTTTTCTCTGCTACCAGCATCGAATTTTGAATTTTAGAAAAGTATGTGAGTCTTCTGATAACATGACTCTAAATTCTCTTCTTGAATTTGGTGCTTTGGTTCTGATCTTTCTTTTCCCCAGAGCAAAGCATGTCTCTACATTCTCTCCTCCAGCTCCAAGATGATAACTCTTGCTCAGGCTGGGGAGGGGACCTGAACTTTATTCTCTCAGGGTGGCACCACAACTGACTGCCCTCCACCCTACTTTTGAAGGCTCTGCCACTCTCTGACTAGAACAGAAGAATACTCATGGAGCCAGAAAGGAGGAAATCCTGTTGAAATAGCTACACAACATGATCACAGTTAACACTGCCTGGGAGCTAAGCCTTTCTTGTCACAGACAAGAGCTCTTTGCACAAGGCTTCACTGGCTGTGACCAGATTATCTGCCACAGACCCTGTGGAGGGTTAAAAACAGCTCAACTCAGGCTTTATGGCAGCATGGAAATCCCAAAATGTGAGGCGCATAAGTCTGAAAGCCCTCAGACCTCTGCAAATGCCCTAAATAAGTCATCTGCTGGCTGTAAGCAGCTGAGCATACACAACTTCTTCTCCATTTCATGTGAGGACCATGTATTTTATGATACTGGTTCTGGGATCAGGCCCTGAGAAGAAAGAAGAATGGAGAAGTGCTTTATGAACTGGTTTAATAACAGAACCACATCAACACTAGGTGTGTTCTTAGAAATGGCTGGGTTACTTGTTAGAATTTTTTCTTGGCTGGGCAATACCCATGCAGGGAACTGCTGCTTATCAAGAAGAATTCAACCAGGTATTTTGCCTTTCTTCCAATTTTATTGTGCACTTCTGCACTTTGTTAGCATAAATAGATTTTCTAAAACTTATTTTACTTCCCAATAATACAAATAATTTTGGCACAGTCTGACTAAACTTAGGAATGTTGCTTCTTTGGCAACCCAACTTAAAGAAACGTGAAGAAGTAGTTTTAACACACTTCACAGCCAGCATTTTTGAATGAGAGACCATCACACAGAACCAAAGACATCTACCCAAAGAGAAACATAAAAGAGAGAGGAGGTAATTTGTAACCTGGATGAAGATGACTCATGGGGTTTGATGCTGGCACTGCGATCCCTTCTCACTGGAGCTGGCTCCAGTGTAGGTAATCCTGTGGCTGATGTTGTTGTGGTCCAGGTTGAGGACACTCGTCTCAGCAGTCCTGGAGGCAAACTTCTCCGTAAGCGCTGAGGAGAAATCAGTTGCTTAGAGTTTATACCAGCTTACAAACCATTCAAATGTGATAAACCATTTCCATTTGATTAATTCTGCCTGACAAGAGCTAGTGAGGTAGCTCAAATCTGGATTCTCCCAGGTACTGTGGTGTCTTCATTCTACTCGAATCAACACACGCTTCAAATGCTTGGAGGGTCTGGATCATCCTCTCTGTTTCAAGTTTTAAAAAAGGTCTACACCCACAGCCCCATAGCCACAGAAGTTCAACATCTGATATGGCCAAAGGCATTTAAACAAATTAGCAGGGCCACAAAGGTGGACTGGAACATCTGTCATACAATGAAAGGCTGAGAGAGCTGGAATTCCTCAGCTGGAAGAAGAGATGGCCCAGGGTAGATCTTACTAACATATACAGATACCTGAAGGGAGGGTGCAAAGAAGATGGAGTCAGGCTCTTTTCAGTGGTTCCCAGTGAAAGGACAAGAGGCAATAGGGCAAAAATTGAAATACAAGAAATTTCATTTAAAGCTAGGAAAGTATTTTTTACTGTGAGGATGACGGAATATTGAAGGAGGTTGTCCAAAGAGGCTGTGAAGTTTAAATTCATGGAGATACTCAAAACCCAACTGGACATCCTCCTGAGCAATCTGATCTAGGTTGAGCCTAGAAAAACCTTCTACATGAGGGACTGGACTAGACAATCTCCAGGTGCACTTTCAACCTCAACTATTCTATGATTTAAACTGTAACGAATTCTCAGAATCAGAAATTCAAGGCAAGAAAGGCTGTATGAAAGGGACAGGAGCTCCAATTTTTTCCTTGCTGTATCTATCAATCCAAAGGTCACCCACTGAAATAAAACTCATTCTCTGGGATATGATGTCTCTTGATAAGCTTAGAAAAAGCATCACTATTTACAGTAGATTTTTCTTGACCACCCTGCATTTTTCTTTCACCTAAATCTTCTTTTCCTCCACTAACAGAACTCACATAGGTTTTTTTTTTTATTTTTGAAGACAGATATAATAAGGGATGATGATAAAGAGTCTTTTTGGATCCAGATTTGCTGTTAGAGATGCTATAATTTTGTATGATGTTTCTCTTGTAGTTCTCATGAAATGTTTATAGTTAAGAACTAAAATAAATATATCTCTGCAGTGGAGATCTTGGACTTTGCCAGAGGGTTAAGAAATATGAGATGGAAGACACCTGTGGTTCTGAAGCTCAAACTTGAAGAAAAATATGTTACCATACCATCTCTTTACCCAAAAATAGTGTCAGATGCTTAAGGCAAAGACTCTAAATCTATATTTATATAAGTAAATAAAGGACTGCAAATTATTAGTTTTATGAACCATAATACATTTAAAGGTCAGTGAACTCCTGTCAAATTAGATCTCTGTAGCATTAACTCATTTCTTCATCCTTCATTTCGCCTCTCCTCACTAGGTATTATGCAACAACAAAGTGGTATCTGCTCCCTGTGTTTGCTCATGTGATGGCAGTGTTCTTCCACTTAACTTTTCCCCTCAGAGCCCAGAGTACAGCCATGAGAGACATGTTCACTAAAATAAATTGGGAAATGTGCTTAAAAACCCGTGAACATCCATTTCGTACATACAGCTGCTACATAGGCAAATAGGGTAATAATTACCATCACACCAAAATATAACAAAAACAAGAATCACAAGTGTTGCAATTTGAATGCCTGGAAATGCTGGAATGAATGCTGGCTGTGCCATTTAAACTGTAAAAACATAAAAGCATTTGCCTGTGCAACGTACTTTGCCTGTATTTAATTTTAGAAGGGAGACTGCAGTACAAAAGCATTTTGGTTTCCTTTCAAAAGTAAAATGTAAGCCTTGCAGGACAGCTAATTAGCCACAAACCTACAACTCAAATTAACTCTAAGCTCTCTCTAGCTGTTCACGTACTAAACGTGGGTAGCTAACACTGGTTATTTCTTGTCAGATTCCTGAGCATTTATAAAGCCATCTGTCAAAGCAGTAATAGATAGATTTTTTTTTGGTTCAGTCTTTTTTTTCTTTTCAAGACCACTTCTCACAAGTTCACTGTAGTTGTCATACTAATGATTGTGATAAACTTTTTGTTTGTTTGTTTGGTATGCAGCATTTTAAACTTGACCCAAAGACTTGGAGGTCATCAATAGGGAGTTCTTCATTGCCTACTACAGGTTGTCAACTTCTGGCTAAGGGAAGGAAGAAGAGACTGAAATTCATACAGAATTTTAAATTCCAACCTTTAAAGTGAGCAAAAAGGTCCCTCATATTACTGCTTATTTCCCCAATGCTCATTGTCTAGGATAGTCACCCCGCACACAGTGGCTCAAATCTTTTGAGTGGGAGGAGAATTTCTGTGTAAGAAGCGATGGGGCAGACCTGTGAGTCTGAATGATAAAAGGCTTCTGCTTGCTCTTCTCCCTGTCATTTCTTCTCTCAAGCTCCAACCAACAGCTGCAAGAAAATATGCACACCATCTGTGTGATCTACTGTGTGTCAAACACCATCTTCTAAACATGCCTGAATCAAAGAAAACCTGGCCGTGAGTTGAGGGATACACAGGAACTGTGTTACTATGAAACCAACCATGGATTAGCTGTCCTTTACAATAGAGTGTCGCTGGTGCACAGGATGTTAATCTGAAGCAAACAAGCAAAAATCCCAGTGATGCCTCTCGATGGCCCAGTGATGTACCTTTAGGGAGAGCCAAGTTACAAGATGACAGACAGGCTCCAGTACTCACCTTGGGAATGGCCAGTTTCTCTCCTTTTTCTGGACATTCCTCCGAGTCGGAGCAAGTGTAGTTCTCACTGAAGGACACCAAAGGATTCACCCTTGGCTTGTGGATGGCCTGGAAGGTTAACTGCGTATTAAGCAGGTTGCTCACTGTTCTCAGCGATGTGCACACGTTGGGGGGCAGTGAAGGATCGGCCAAAAGGTCTGTGATGAGCCCATGTGCTTCTCCCATGACAGCGATATCCACTGTGATACTGGTACCAGAGGACTAAAGAAGAGAAAAACAACAGAAGTGAACAACCTGCTGAGCAGTATCTAAAGCTGTGGTGAACTCTCTTCACAATTTTTGTTAAAGTGGTTACCCACAGAGTGGAAAAATAATAACATGAAATAATTCTTTAAATAAGGAGAATGCTGCTGAATAGATTGATCATCAGGTGTAATGCTCACATTCTGCAAAGACTTTGGGATTCCATCATATCTGATTTCATCGTTTTCACCATCTGCAGCTGACAACCCATCCAAATGAATTGTTCAGGCTCCCTACAGAGACATAGTCAATGGCCAGAGCTATTTGCACAAATAATTTTGGAGACATAGCTTTGCATGGGATGGGAGGAGTCTCTCTTGAGAGATGCCTGTCTACTGACTACAGAGGCATCTAGAACAACTATTCAATGCTTACACTTGGATGAATGAAATTAATCCCAGGAATATACTGAGATCTTTAAAATATCACCATGCAAATAAACTACAGTATTCTGGTATGGTGGCAGCAACATTCTTCTCCAAGAAATTGCATATTGGGCAGCTATAACAAATCTGAGATGGAGTAAAAAGTGGATTTTTCAAACCTTATTTTATTCACATGGAAGTGATGAGAATAGCTACTCCACAAACTTGTATGACCAATTCAGATGGTCCTTACTTTCTCTTGGGTTTGAAATATATACCTACTTTACATATATCATTTAGGAAGAATTATTAACTGAAGTGATGTGTAAGCAGAAGCAATATCAGGGACCAGGTCCTATCACTGGCAGATCTTACGCAGCCTAACCATGGATATAATTGATGGGCAAATGATGCAACGCAAACCAAGTGTGGCCCAGGCAAACTGTCCTCATATGTGCAGTCCATTTATCACAGGCACAGGTAATTTCACACAGCTATAGCACTGGGCTTTCAGTGCATGCACAACAGAGTTGATCCATTAATGCATCTTTGAGTTTCTCCAGAACCTTCCCCACAATCAGCAGCTTCAACTACCACCTGTCTCGAAAACCAGTAGGGCACTGTATTGGCAATAAAGGAAACAGTATATTGCCAAAAGCAGGGAAGTTGTCAAGTCTGTGAATTGACACATGACATATGATACAATTGCAAAAGATTGAGGATCTTTAAAATCTACTACAAGAACAGTGAGACTGAATGCACATAGAAGTAGAACAACTAGAAAGGAAGGAAGCATATGGAGATTCAATGCAGCAGTGACATTTCAGCCTCACTAGCTGGTGTACAAAAACCTGCCATAAATTCTGCATGAAATTGCTAATTCAAGGCACTCCAAGAGTGACCATTTTTCCTCTGCTGTGTTTCTGATACATAAGCTTAAGCCTGCTGCTACTGTTCGGGACTTACAGCATGTGTACATGCAGTTTGTGCCAGAGAGATCACTCCAGTAGATTTTGTACTAATTTACTTTCAGGTATTTATTAGACAATATTAAAATATAGGGTTTTATAAATGGTGAAGTTATGTTTGTGAGAAGAACAGATGAGGTTTTTGAAGTGGCAAAGACACAATATGGAGAATTGGTCAGACTTAGCAGGAGAGTGATCAGAGCCCCATCCAGGAATGACTCACCAGTGACAGTGTTTATGGACCTCAAAACACAAAGAACAGTGTAGCCCAGCTTGACACTGCTTCGTTCTCACAAAAGGCCTTACAGGCAACAGAAAAGTATTTCTGAGGAAAGTGATATATGAGCTGAGTGAGCGAAACTCCTCCCCATTTGTGTAGCGTGGACATCAGGCCCTTGGCAAATAGAAGTTTCACTCCACTGATCCACTCCTTGTGTTCTACTTCTCGCTATCACAGGATCCCCTCCTTGTGTCCTACCTCTTGCTAACACAGAAGTAAACTGCAGAACCAGAAGAGACACCTCCTAACTCACCACCCTCTCATGAAACCAGAGAAACAGCTTCTTCTTCCCATATTTCTTTGCCACGCTATGAAATAACATGAACCAGAAGTCGCTTGATATACTGAAGTGCTATTTCATCCTACTGAAAAAAATTAATGTCTGAACTTAATTTAATGGCTCTTTCATTGCTTAGCCTCTCAGGAGTGCATGCAGAAGATTCTGGCAGATGCTAAAGAAAATTCTTAAATTAAAAGACAAGGCTTGGGATGGGAGGAATTAATTATCTATCTTAACCTCAGCCCTGAAAAACAGACCAAAGGAGAGTGAGGGACAATATGTCATTCAAAACGCAATAGAAGCCTCATATTTTCAGCAAAACTGCATAATCTACAGTTTGAGATTCTATTAAGCCTGGAGCCTGGAGTTGTTGACTGCCAATCAGAGACAGAGATTAATACTTCAATGAAGTAAACAAGTCTGACTCAGCGGGCTATAAGCAGAGGCCCAGATTTTGTACAGCAGTACTAATATTTTGCAAAGCAGCCAGCATTGTTCTCCATGATTAGCACCAAGTGGGGAGAAGGAGAGCCCTTCTCTTCTCAATGGTGAATTTTCTGCCACATGGCCTCTAACACGTGAGGATGCCTTGTCAGATGTCTTGGTGACCCCACCTTGACTCTGGGACCCAGCAGATCTGCCTGAATCAAAACCCCAGGCTGTGATGAGTTATGCCAGGATCAAGCGCATGGTAAAACCCATGCAGCCATCCACCCATCAATCCTGCCTGCACAGAGTACACCCAGTGAGGTCAGCACCATGCCTGTGAGGAGATCCACATTGATTTTCCCCCACTATGAAAATGAGATGTGTGCTCCATCAGTACAGCCTGGCCAGGGTCACCACAAACATGTGCACAGTGACATCCTGCATTGCATAAGACTGTGAAAACATTTTACACAGTTCAAAGTCATCACTCTATTGTACTGAGCTGCTTTAATTGTCAGTATATGAAAGTTACAGTATTGTCTGACCTACTTATAATTCTTAAAATCCTTAGAATGAGGGCATGTGTAAAAGAACAACAGACCAAGCTTAAATTCCTCTTGAAGAAAGAAGCACAAGAGGGTAAGCACTGCTCTAATCCACCAATTTCAGTACATTTACACACATCCTAAATTGGAAAGGTTTATAAGTTGTAATTTAATTGCACAGTACTTGTATACAGGAAAGCACCTTCTTTTCCAAACAGTTTGAATATTTCATCTATTTCAGGGTCAATTTAGAGCACAGTCAGACTAGATAAAATTACAGGTATTTAAAGTATTATTTTCCAAAAAAGTTACAAATTGCATGAATGAAAACATTTTAAAATATTTCATTTTTCAGAATCACTACTACAAAACTGTAGAGAACTGCATATACTTTGGAAACCATTATTCAGAAAGTAAACAAAAATGCCTTTCCCTAAAGGGCAAGAAAACCTGGAATTTACATTAAAAGACATATGATGATGTGAAAGCAAGACAGTAAACTGGTGAAAAATTTGGATTGATGTGATAGTATATATGCACATGCACACATCTGCACACATGTATATGCACAGTGTCTTTTTTGTCAGGGTAAAAGTGCATCTAAAATCCATATTTGGACTTTGTAAGTAGTTTCCTTCTTACGTGCACAGCCTCTGCATGAACTGATTTGTATTCTTTCCAAACCACTTTACTCATTGCAACTCAAAGGCCAGATACTTGGAAATAGTGGCATGAATAAGACATTTGCAATCAACGCTAACAAACAACTAATTTGATAAAACCAAACAACAAAGAGCTAACCTAAGGTGAATTTAATTGCACATTGGTCAGTATTCATTTACTCATCTATGCCAATAACTGTGAATCCAGTTCCCTCCCATGAATTTTGGAGAAGACTGTGCAGTTGTGACTTCATTCCAGCCCTGATTTAAGCAATGTCATGCAGTGACTAAAACTGAAATGCTCTAGGGCAGGAGAATGAGAAAGCAAATAGGCTGGGGAAAAAAACCAACCAAACAACAACAACAAAACCAGATCAACTAAGCATGCTCACTTTTAAGGAGAAAAACTAATTCCTTACAATGCTGAAAAACAGTGGTTTTGGCCACAGTATGACCTGGAATTCCTAACTGGGTCCAAATGCACTTGCAACATGTTTTGTGGCTTCTTTTCATGTACAGAAATAAATAAAAAGGGTTTTCTCTGAAAGAATGCATATAAAAAGAAGATGGCCAGATCACAGCAGGATGCATCAGAGACTGAGGACAGACATGGATAGCTCACAGTGCTAACTGTGCAATCATCTAAGTTTGCATTGGTGGGGGATCACTGGGAATTTGCAAGAAAACGTTGATGTGCCAAGAAGCACACCTACTGCTTCATGTGCAGGGTCAAACCACGAGCAGCGTGTCCCACTATCACACAGACAATTTCTGTCAGGGCAGGAGACTTATCTGCAAGCAATACTCTTAAATGCCCTATGAAAACAATATTCTAGCAAATTTTAATGAACACTTAGAATTTTTGAATAGTTTGTTTTGGATTGTGTTACATGACTAGAAAATAAACCTGTGCAACCTTCGTTGGGCTCTTCTATTGCATTTCACAAAATCCCATTAATTTTCTTTTGTTAAATTATATTATGCATAAAACTCTAAGAATAGCTATTTACTGGCTAAGGGGGAAAACAGATAGAACTGTGTAGGAGAAATGAATTTAGGAAAATAGGAATAACAAATTCCTTTACTCATAAGACCTGATAGATAAATCTAGGTTATGAATTGTTCCTGTTGACTCACCCGCGAAGCAGATTTGACATCCACACACTTAATAGATACCTTAATGCACATAAAAGTCTTTCCCGTCCCCACTAATATTTTGTATATGATTCTCATAAGATTGAACTTAGACAGCCTAACTAAAAAATACTGTTCTTTCACCCTACAAAAAGGACGATTATCATGGCAACACAAAACCAGTCAAAACTTCAGCATGAAAAAAACCCAAAACCAAACCAATTACCAAACACAAACCACAATTCATTTCACACATCCTCATGTTAGGAAAAAATAAAATATTTATTTGATGTGG